ACTCCACAGCAACTACATCCCGGACTCACTGAACAGCCACATCCTGGACTCACTGAACAGCCACATCCCGAACTCACTGAACAGCCACAGCTCAGAGGACCCGAACCCGTAACAGCAGCCGATGATCCTCGGTCCCGACCATGCAGCAGACCTGTCGAAACACTCCCAGTTCAGACCACCGCAGGCCGGGCTCCGAAACGGCTCTGCCACCGCTCCGGGACGGGGCCGCCCGGCGGTGCGGCGCCGGGCCGGGTCACCGGTCGGGCCGGCCGGGCCGTCGCCACTCCGCCGGTGGGAGTGGGTTCACGGTCGGGCCGGCCGGGCCGTCGGCACTCGCCGAGTTGGATGGTCACCGGTCGGGCCGGCAGGGCCGTCGCACTACGCCGGTTGGATGGGTCCACCGGTCGGGCCGGCCGGGCCGTCGCCACTCCGCCGGTGGGATGGGTCACCGGTCGGGCCGGCCGGGCCGTCGCCACTCCGCCGGTGGGATGGGTCACCGGTCGGGCCGGCCGGGCCGTCGCCACTCCGCCGGTGGGATGGGTCACCGGTCGGGCCGGACCGGGCCGTCGCCACTCCGCCGGTGGGATGGGTCACCGGTCGGGCCGGCCGGGCCGTCGCCACTCCGCCGGTGGGATGCCCGCTTCCGGTGCAACGACCTTGGTGGCGGAACAATGGCCCCGCCGACTCGTCTGAGGCGGGCCGGAACGGGACGGGATCGGCGCGGGCCGTCCCCGCCCCCGTCCCCGCCCGCGCCCCCGCCCTCGCAGACAATGCGGCCGCTCGGCGCGTGGTCACGTTGCGCCATCAGCTGACGCTGACTGGTCCAGGGTCGTGCGAGGCCGGGAGTGAGCGTGGTGTCTTCGCTGCTCAGGTCGCAGAAGCCGCAAGGAGAGGCGAAAGCGTGGCGATAATGATTTGAAATGGGCAGGGACGTGCCTTTTTGACAAAGTCACCCGGAACGATAATTGAGGGTTTTTGTGGCCCTTTACGGATTCGGTTGATATGAAATGGAGTCGACACAACGGCAGCCTATCCGAGCCGCCCCCACTGTGCCAGCGACCTGTCGCAGCCGACCCGAGCCGCCCCCACGGTGCCGGTGACCTGTCACAGCCGACCCGAGCCGCCCCCACGGTGCCGGTGGACCGTCACAGCTGACCCGAGCCGCCCCCACGGTGCCGGTGACCTGTCACAGCCGACCCGAGCCGCCCCACGGTGCCGGTGACCTGTCACAGCCGACCCGAGCCGCCCCCACGGTGCCGGTGACCTGTCACAGCCAACCCGAGCCGCCCCCACGGTGCCGGTGACCTGTCACAGCCGACCCGAGCCGCCCCCACTGTGCCGGTGACCTGTCACAGCCGACCCGAGCCGCCCCCACGGTGCCGGTGACCTGTCACAGCCGACCCGAGCCGCCCCCACGGTGCCGGTGACCTGTCACAGCCGACCCGAGCCGCCCCCACGGTGCCGGTGACCTGTCACAGCCGACCCGAGCCGCCCCCACGGTGCCGGTGACCTGTCACAGCCGACCCGAGCCGCCCCCACGGTGCCGGTGACCTGTCACAGCCGACCCGAGCCGCCCCACGGTGCCGGTGACCTGTCACAGCCGACCCGAGCCGCCCCCACGGTGCCAGTGACCTGTCACAGCCGACCCGAGCCGCCCCACGGTGCCGGTGACCTGTCACAGCCGACCCGAGCCGCCCCCACGGTGCCGGTGACCTGTCACAGCCGACCCGAGCCGCCCCCACGGTGCCGGTGACCTGTCACAGCCGACCCGAGCCGCCCCCACGGTGCCGGTGACCTGTCACAGCCGACCCGAGCCGCCCCCACGGTGCCGGTGACCTGTCACAGCCGACCCGAGCCGCCCCACGGTGCCGGTGACCTGTCACAGCCGACCCGAGCCGCCCCCACGGTGCCGGTGACCTGTCACAGCCGACCCGAGCCGCCCCCACGGGCCTGCAGTGACCTGTCACAGCCGACCCGAGCCGCCCCACGGTGCCGGTGACCTGTCACAGCCGACCCGAGCCCCCCACGGTGCCGGTGACCTGTCACAGCCGACCCGAGCCGCCCCACGGTGCCGGTGACCTGTCACAGCCGACCCGACCGCCCCCACGGTGCCGGTGACCTGTCACAGCCGACCCGAGCCGCCCCCACGGTGCCAGTGACCTGTCACAGCCGACCCGAGCCGCCCCCCACGGTGCCGGTGACCTGTCACAGCCGACCCGAGCCGCCCCCACGGTGCCGGTGACCTGTCACAGCCAACCCGAGCCGCCCCCACGGTGCCGGTGACCTGTCACAGCCAACCCGAGCCGACGGTGCCGGTGACCTGTCACAGCCGACCCGAGCCGCCCCCACGGTGCCGGTGACCTGTCACAGCCGACCCGAGCCGCCCCCACGGTGCCGGTGACCTGTCACAGCCGACCCGAGCCGCCCCCACGGTGCCGGTGACCTGTCACAGCCGACCCGAGCCGCCCCCACGGTGCCGGTGACCTGCCACAGCCGACCCGAGCCGCCCCCACGGTGCCAGTGGCCGGTCGTGCCGCGGCCTGCGCAGCTCTGCTCGCCCCGTGGGAGTGGTGGTCGGGCCGCGGCCCGGCCGGAGCGCTCGCACGACCTCCGCTGACCGGCAGCCACGCGCGGTCTGGGACGCCTCCCGGCGTGGGATCTTCCGGCAGGCCGAGCCGGGCGGAGGGCATGCGGCTTATCACGCCACCGCGGCGCTGCGGGCCGCCCGCAGCCCGGCCACACATGCTACCACCGACCGCTCGGTGGCACGCGACGCTGGCCAGGTCTGCTGCACTGGCTGGCACCATCCGAGCACGGCATGTAAAGCTGCATATTTTTAGAAGTTGAAGCTTTTGGTCGGGCTCATTGCTGCGCCTTTATCCTGTATTGCCTGCGGTTTTGAAAATATTAGAATCTTAATCGTTGAACGCCACGAAAGATATCCATGTGAATCTTCTTTTGCTGCTGTCTTGTACGCGAACAACACTTTTTTAGACGTGTAATAGATCTAGTGTGGACTACTGAAGAGACGTTTGTGTCTCTGGCTTCCCAAGCCTACAGAAAGCTTACCACTGCGCGATGTTTATAGCTCGGCATGCTTTGTGAATCACTCATCCGTCTTCGCACTCCACTTGTTTGCCCGCAGGACACTGACCAGTGCGTGACATGCACGCGGAGCTTGCGTCACAGATACCCCGCCTTCCTGTCGTCTCTGGCGATCAATGGACAACTGTTGCCAGTTGCCAAGATGCCAGCCCAGGGATGTCACTACTCAAAAGTGGTTGGGGACTCCAACGCCAACAGTGATTTTGGAAGCCTTGAGATTATTCGCGCCACGCATTGTTATGCTGTTCATGCCCAAATATGAGATTAAAGAGCGCCGGACACTCACCAAAGCGTTCAAAGCGACACTCCTTGGTCACGCTGAAAAGCAGAAAAGGCGAATCACAAAATGTTCATGATATTGGGCCACACGTTCGCAATATTTTCCTCCCTTGAACTGGAATTGCAATGCTCTGGAAGTGAGGCTGAGTATTCGTAGCATGCTATGCACTGATTTGAAGGCCTTCACCACAGAACGTTACCCCCGTGTCGTCAAAGGACTACACGCTCGAGCAGTTCCTGAGCTTCCCAAACGCTCAGGGATGGTTAAATTAACCACTCGGCAGCAGCTGTAGTGGACAGGGCCCACTAAGACCCGGGCGAGGAAAAATAAACGAAATGCATGGAGCCTGATCTATGTGTAATCTCTAGCCTCAAGGATCAGCATGATAAACGTATTCCCGCCGCCCGGTCTCATGCGTAAAACACCTACTTTGGTACGCTAACTACCTATTGCACGCGATAGAAAGGCACTTGGCTGCCGTCCTCTGTTCCACACCTTGCACACCAGCCCCCGCGTTGACGCGTGAGAACTGCCCGTCACCGTGCCACCCTTCTGCGCCGACATCGCCCGTGAGAGCACGACGGCGTCACCCGATCATCCACGCTCTGTGACGTCATCCGGTCGTGCGATCGTCGCCACGTTCTGTGACGTCACCGGACATCACCGTGCATGTTTCGTCACTGGATCTGTGCAATGCACTTGTCGATGCGACGTGGTGGTCAGCTCAGCATGCCCCCATTGGCGTATTTGCCGCCGTTCTTTGGTGGACAACAACCCTTGCGAGGTGGCCCAAGCCTGCTAGCGTTGGTGGCTGAACAGATCAGCATCTCTGCCTGCATCAAGCTTTGTAGGCCTGGACACGTACGCACTTACCCATACAACAGCATTGATGCCTGTTATACAGGCGGTGGTGGGCAATTTTATCAAAGGATTGGAGTTCAACTTCCCGTGATGTCTTACAAACGGGAACTGGGGCTGCAATCCGTTCCTCAGCCGTCATTCGGGAGGTGGGAGCTGCGATCATCTGTCGCCGCAGCGGAGCATGGTTCGGTCGTCCACTGATGACTCGTGTCACCCTGAACGCTTCATGTTCGCAAGTTTTGCCGGGGTACGAGGTCAGTTTGCCGGGGTACGAGGTCGTGCATGTCAGAGTCTCAGGTCACGGCGAGGTCGTGCATGTCAGAGTCTCAGGTCACGGCGAGGTCGTGCATGTCAGAGTCTCAGGTCACGGCGAGGTCGTGCAGTCAGAGTCTCAGGTCACGGCGAGGTCGTGCATGTCAGAGTCTCAGGTCACGGCGAGGTCGTACATGTCAGAGTCTCAGGTCACGGCGAGGTCGTGCATGTCAGAGTCTCAGGTCACGGCGAGGTCGTACATGTCAGAGTCTCAGGTCGCGGCTTCCCGGTAGGTCTTCACCACTACCTTCAGCGCTCTGTCTTCACGTGCCTCAGGTTGGCGTGTGTGTTCAGATCCTAACTGTATTTTTAGCCCCGCAATGTAGCATGCATTTGATCGCTGCCGACGCAGCGATCGCGCGTCTCTCCACACTGACATGGCTTCAATCGCAAACGCCAACGCCAGGCCCACTCCCCTCTGACTGCCACCACCTCGCTGCAGGGCATCGACGCCATGGCTTACAAACTGCGCCGGCCGGCCCTGTTCGGCTGCGACAGCGGACTGGGCGCCGTCCTGGGGCGGTATTACCCACACCAGGTCAGTGTAGACGGTGGACTGGGCGCCGTCCTCGGGCGGTGTTACCCACACCAGGTCAGTGTAGACGGTGGACTGGGCGCCGTCCTCGGGCGGTGTTACCCATGCCAGGTCAGTGTAGACGGTGGACTGGGCGCCGTCCTCGGGCGGTGTTACCCACACCAGGTCAGTGTAGACGGTGGACTGGGCGCCGTCCTCGGGCGGTGTTACCCACACCAGGTCAGTGTAGACGGTGGACTGGGCGCCGTCCTCGGGCGGTGTTACCCACACCAGGTCAGTGTAGACGGTGGACTGGGCGCCGTCCTCGGGCGGTGTTACCCATGCCAGGTCAGTGTAGACGGTGGACTGGGCGCCGTCCTCGGGCGGTGTTACCCATGCCAGGTCAGTGTAGACGGCAGACAGGGCGCCGTCCCCGGGCGGTATTACCCACACCAGGTCAGTGTAGACGGTGGACTGGGCGCCATCCTCGGGCGGTGTTACCCATGCCAGGTCAGTGTAGACGGTGGACTGGGCGCCGTCCTCGGGCGGTGTTACCCATGCCAGGTCAGTGTAGACGGCAGACAGGGCGCCGTCCTCGGGCGGTATTACCCATGCCAGGTCAGTGTAGACGGCAGACTGGGCGCCGTCCTCGGGCGGTGTTACCCATGCCAGGTCAGTGTAGACGGTGGACTGGGCGCCGTCCTCGGGCGGTGTTACCCATGCCAGGTCAGTGTAGGCGGTGGACTGGGCGCCGTCCTCGGGCGGTGTTACCCACACCAGGTCAGTGTAGACGGTGGACTGGGCGCCGTCCTCGGGCGGTGTTACCCATGCCAGGTCAGTGTAGACGGCAGACTGGGCGCCGTCCTCGGGCGGTGTTACCCATGCCAGGTCAGTGTAGACGGTGGACTGGGCGCCGTCCTCGGGCGGTGTTACCCATGCCAGGTCAGTGTAGACGGCAGACTGGGCGCCGTCCTCGGGCGGTGTTACCCATGCCAGGTCAGTGTAGACGGTGGACTGGGCGCCGTCCTCGGGCGGTGTTACCCACACCAGGTCAGTGTAGACGGTGGACTGGGCGCCGTCCTCGGGCGGTGTTACCCATGCCAGGTCAGTGTAGACGGCAGACTGGGTGCCGTCCTCGAGCGGTATTACCCATGCCAGGTCAGTGTAGACGGCAGACTGGGCGCCGTCCTCGGGCGGTGTTACCCATGCCAGGTCAGTGTAGACGGCAGACTGGGTGCCGTCCTCGGGCGGTGTTACCCACACCAGGTCAGTGTAGGCGGTGGACTGGGCGCCATCCTCGGGCGGTGTTACCCATGCCAGGTCAGTGTAGACGGCAGACTGGGTGCCGTCCTCGGGCGGTGTTACCCATGCCAGGTCAGTGTAGGCGGTGGACTGGGCGCCGTCCTCGGGCGGTGTTACCCATGCCAGGTCAGTGTAGACGGTGGACTGGGCGCCGTCCTCGGGCGGTGTTACCCATGCCAGGTCAGTGTAGACGGCAGACTGGGTGCCGTCCTCGGGCGGTGTTACCCATGCCAGGTCAGTGTAGGCGGTGGACTGGGCGCCGTCCTCGGGCGGTGTTACCCATGCCAGGTCAGTGTAGACGGTGGACTGGGCGCCGTCCTCGGGCGGTGTTACCCACACCAGGTCAGTGTAGACGGTAGACTGGGACGATGTTGACTCCACCGGGTGAGCATTGGTAATGAAATGGGAGCCGTGCTGGGCCACACCAGGCGAATATGGGAGCACCAGGTGGATGTGGCAGGGAACTTGATACCGCCCTGGGATGGTATTACCCACGTCTCACCCATGCCAGACCATACACAGCGAACTGGGGTCGTCCTGGGAGGGCATTACCCGAGCGTATCCCGCGCCGCGTGGGCATAGATGGGAAAATGGCGCCGTCATGGGCCGACACTATTGACCCGGCTGTTAGCTCCTCCACGTGATCATGGACGTATGACTGGGAGTGGTCATTGGCTGCTGTTGCTCACACTTGGCGAGGACATCCCTGACGCGGGGCCGTTGCGGGCTCCCATCGCACGTGCCTGACGAGTGGGCTAATGGTCGGGAGCCGCATCTGTTCGAACAGCACCTTCACCGAACCAGCTGAAATCAAACTACGTGGCGGGTACTCAGACGGAAGTGGCCCATCCTCTTGCCCGCAGTAAGTCACGTCGTGAGGGTGGAAACGGGTCCCTCCGCTCTTAGTCACGGACGGATGTTGCGCAGCGCCGGCGACACGGCGGCCGCCGGGGAGCAGGGCCGACGGGCGGCCCGGCCGGTCCCAGGCGGCCGACACCGGCACGGGCACGGGGTGAGTCACGCCCCGCCGAGCGCCGACAGCTCTGGCCACTCACAGCTCCGGGCGACGGCCTTTTCCTGTCCGGGTCCGCAGAGTCCAGTTTGCCGCGACAGTCCTACCTGTGCAACGCTGCGTGTCGTGCCAGTTGTGCAGTGTTGGTCCATTCTGACGTACGCGTGGGAACTCAGAAACCGGGACGAGCTGTCGCCAAAGAGGGGCTGCAGGTGAGAACCATAACAGAAACACAGGTCGGCTACCTGTGCGGACTACCCCCCTCATTTCGTGCGTTAGTATGTGCACGTGAACATAAAAGTCAACACACCGGACGAGAGCGATGTTCCAAACAATGATTCCGCCCGTGATGCCAATAGCTCGTATCACTCATTTCGTAAAAGGGGAAGGGCACGGCTCACGAGGCCGGTGGTCAGACTCGTATGCAGAATTTGTCAATGGCGGGCACGCCCTAAAATTTTTACCCCAACAACTCGTCTAGCCCGCCATGTTCTCGGAACATGTCTGGCATGGCAGAAAATATCACAATGTTTCTGTCATCTTATTTGTGCCCGCCTTACTTGGTGTAGAAAATCATCTACATTCATTTACACGTTCGTTCATAGCGGTATAATATGACGGCGAGTGCACGCGTCCCAGGTGCTTCCCTCAACCCGCCGCCTCTGACGACCAGGTGCCTTCCACCTGGTCTCTGACTCATCCTGCGTCAGTCTGAGGCTCATCCTGCCGCGGACCCCTCAACCCGCCGCCTCTGACGGCCAGGTGCCTTCCGCCTGGTCTCTGACTCACCCTGCGTCAGTCTGAGGCTCAGTCTGCCGCGGCCTCTCAACCCGCCGCCACTGACGGTCAGGTGCCACACGCCTGGTCTCTGACTCGCTCTGCGTCAGTCTGAGGCTAAGCCTGCCGCCTCTGACGGTCAAGTGCCTTACGCCTGGTCTCTGACTCACCCTGCGTCAGTCTGAGGCTCAGCCCGCCGCGGGCCGCTCCATTATCGTCCCGAGCCGAGCGTGGTGTTGTCGAACGCTCCGTTACGTCCTGTGAGCAGCGCGTGACTCGGCAAGAAGCCGGCGGCTGTGAGCGGGCGAAAGCGAGCGTGACGCTACGAGACGGAGCTGAGAGACAGTGCAGGGCGGCCGCGGGCGGGGCGGCACGACGCCCCGACGAGAGACGCTCGGACTGCCGACGGATGCGCTGCTGGTGCTGACTTGACCCGGAGCTAACCCGGAGACGGAACACCGTCTGGACACCGGCCTGGCTGACCTGACCGGCGCCGCGAGGTGTTACCCTGCCTGGCCGAGCGATCAGCACTGCCGGATGGCTTGCGTCCGGCCTGGTGTGTGAGACCCACAGTTTGGTAGGCCCCAGAATCAGCGGGAGTGCAGCCAGTGCAGTTGACATCTGTCAGACAAGGCGGTGGCGCGACCCCATGGAATGTCTGATGTCTTATTTGGCTAGTAAGCAGGCGGGGTCTGCGGTGTCACACGACCCCACAGAGCGGCCTCCTCTGTGTGGCCGGACTTGCGGTCGCGCAGGTCAAATCCTTATCGAGAGGCACGGATGCACTGCGCGCGGATGCTACTCTTCCCAGCAGATACGACACCCAGAAGTTTCTGAATGTTTCCATTTCAAGGCTAGGTTCACGCTAAGCCGGTCAGCATTGCGGTGTGGGTCTCTCCCTCCGCTGCTCTCGAGCCTCCTCGCGCCTCACCGCGGTATGACGCCGTAACCAGGTCTAGCCAGCCGAGGCCGGGGCGGACGGCCGGCGGGGCCGGCGGCGCGCGTGGGAACCCGCGCTGCCCGACGCTCCGCCGGCCCGCCCGATCGACCGGCCGCCTCCGTCAGCTGTCAGCGGCGTCACTCTCGCCTGTCAGCGGCTGACTGAAGCGATCATGAGCGCTGGCTCGTGGGGAGGTGACACGCCCGCTGTCTGTCCGCCGACGGAGAACGCTCACCGCCCAGAACAGCCGTGGGGAAACAACAGCCTGTAATAACCCTCGCGTCTTGAAAATTACGATGCTTAACGAAACTCCTCCGCAAATCGTGTGAAAAGGCAGTGAATAAGCGTGTGCGATAGACACCACCACAAACAGGACGGCTGCTGACGAGAATCATGTGGGCGTTCCTGCGATGCGGGCGGGTCCTCATTGGCGCCCTCCTACGCACTGCGTGACTCGAGAAGATTAAGAGCTGCGAGGAGAGCGGAGCTCAATCAACAGCCCGTTTTCCGAGGCGCTTTTAGCGCACGGAACTAATTACGCCAGAATTTCACTGCCTGTCACTGAGAGAGTTCGTAGGTTAATCGTGAAAGTCGATCATACCGATCTCTTTAAAGCATTACTATGCAGCCTAGAGCGCATAAGAGAGGAACAGTTAACCGCTTGCATAAAATCCCGCCAGCTTCCATAGGCTCGCATGTGATGCCAGTCGGTATCACTTTTTAGGTTGTCTGGCATTCGGTACCTTCTAAAATGAATTCATTTAACGATGCACGTGGCAGCCGAACCAGACAATTATGACTGGCCTCCACGAGGCCATCTCCAAGCTGAATCCTTAGCGTGCTTCCTTCCTTAGCTCGCCGTGCTACGTCGAGGCTGGTCTTGTCGGCTGCACGGCTCCAACTGCCTCACGGTGGTGACATCTGGTGGTGAAACGAGACGTGGAGGTTAAACGAGACATGGACATTGAACGAAACGTGGAGTTTAAACGAGAC